CAAGCCTCCACCAGTGTGTTTTGCTTTAACAACCAAGAGACATGATTAACTGAAAGCCAAGGCATTTACTGAGGTGACATAGTGAAAACAGTAGCTGCAAACCAGTCTCTCTTAAAACCCGCACTGAACTCTCCCACAAATACAGTAAACATCCATGAAAAGAAGGGGAACAAACGGATAGTATATTGATAGTGTAGAACTCATAGAGACCACATGGTTGGATCAGGCATAGTGATCTTTTCCCACAAAGCTACTCCTATCCTGAGCTGGCTTGAACTCTCATCATTGCATTCCAGGCTTAGCTCCATAAGGAAGCCTTCGTTATTTAATGACCAGTTTTCAGCCAAGACACATTAACATCTGCTTGTCTGGGATTTCGTGGAGGGAGAATGGTGGTGTGATGGGCTGGGGAACCAATTCAGCCTCTTACATTTAAGTACTATTACTTTAAGGATCTTTTTGTAATTAGTAAAAATGGTTCAAAGTATTCATATCTGATATTGCTGACTGTCTTACTTCTATGATTCTTCAGGATCAGGAAATATGTTTTGCTTGTGACTGTTGAACTCCCTGTACTATCCTCCCTCTTGTTTCCCTGTTAAGTTTGATGTACCTCTATGTCAAACGATTTACGTGTGTGTGCATGTGTTTAATCCTTTGTCCATTTCAGATGAGAGGTTATGTGATGCCTACCCATTCCTTTTCCTCCAAGTTTCTATACTCTTCTCACACACCACTCCCTCCTCCTTTTTAAACTGGTGTGTTCTTTTTATCTTACCTTCTCTTTCTCCTTTTCAAACACACAGAAAAGAACCAGTGCTCCTGTAGGACCTCCATTTTTCTTATTTAACTCCCTCCTTACCTTTTGAAGACATAGAGGGTCTGGAGGGATACTTCCTGGCATCCTGAATACCAAACAACCGAGAAGAGCTTTAGCTTCTCCTGGAGATCCAATAGCTTGGTTGTTGGACCATGATAGGCAACTCAGAGGCAGGGAAACTTCAATCAGCTAAGTCAATTCCCCAAGTATTCAATGCATATTATTGTTGAATAGCATTCCCCAACTGTAGCTAAATAATGTTCTTTTTGTTGACTGTTGAATGGCTTACAAGCATCTCATTTCATTCCAATATTGAACCTACACTACCAGGAGACTGGATTAAGTCAGACCTAGAACACAACTGATAAATTGTAAGTAATTATTATCTTTGTTTTATTATTTGTTACCCCATTAAAGAAATTTTAACACCAGCACACTTCTTGTTTACTTATGACAGATTAAGGAGTTTTACAGAGAGAGGAATGAACTAAAACTTATGGGAAAAGAATTTTCTCTAGTTTATTTAATAAATAATACTTAATTAACTGAGGGTAAGTTATCAGAGCTAACTGATTAATGAGAAACGTTGTGATTTCAGTAGTTAAAGAGGAATTAATCAGAACAAGATTACAAAATTTGTGATTTATAGTCTGGAATTGTGAGTTGCCTTGGGCATGTAAGAATTTTCTTTATGCGTGTGCTAGGTCTCTGTAAGTATGTGCCCAGTTTCCCCCACAGATGCTAAATATATTGGTGGGAAAATACAACCCAGATTTATATGTGAACTGTAATGTATTAATTATTACTACATTTGCTTTATATTGAGTAACTGTAATATGTCACAATTCTTCTTCTTTTTCCTGCTGTCAAATAAGAGTTAATGGTGTCATTGTAAACGTGTAAATGGGAAGCATATTGAGGAGGAATGGAGTAACTATAATGAGTATTAAGAATGTATTCCTTTTTAACAATAGAATGCTTAGAGGATTTGAGTGGCGGTCTAGTAGTAGTGGCCTACTCCTGAGCATCCCAGAGCTGCCAACGTGAAGGCAAATGTGTGAGCCAGACGAGAGACAAAATCAGGGACCACATGCCCGTTCGTGAATTATGCCCGCACAGTGTCTGGTTGGCTGATCAACTGAAAGACTTAGCAACATTCTAATGTCATAGGAAGGGATGGGGATAAAAGGGGGAAGCATGATAGAAGGGAATAGAAGACTGGTGGAGGCGGTTGTCAGAAACAAAACAGTTTTGAGGATAGATGGGGTGAAGAGAGAGGGAGAGAAGCATAAAGGGGGAGGATAGGATAGAGGGAAATACACAGTTAGCAATCATAACTGTGAAAAAAAAAAGTTTCCAGAAAATTTCTCTGATAAAGACCTAATTTCTCAAAAATATAGAGAATTGAATTAAATTTATAAAAATAAGAGCCATTGATAAATGATAAATGACCAAAGGATATAAATAGGCAATTTGCAGATGAAGTAGTCAAATCTATCTATGGTCGCATGAAAAAATACTCTAAATCACTATTGATAAGAGAAGTGTAAATTAAAATAACTCTGAGATACCACCTCATACCTATCAGATTGGCTACTATGACAGAAAAGGAAAATGACAAATGTCGGAGGGGATGTGGGAAAATGGAGACACTAATGTACTCTTGGAGTTGTGAACTGATTCAATCACTCTGGAAAGCAATTGGAAACTATGCCCAAAGGGTATGTTCTTTGACCTAGCCATACCACTACTAGGTCTCTATCCCAAAGAGATTTAAAAAAAAAAAAAAAAAAAAAAGGAAAAGGATCTATATGTACACAAAAATTTATAGTGATTCTTTTAATGGTGGCAAAGAATTGGAAATTGAGGGGATGACCATCAATTGAGGAATGGCTAAATAAGTTGTGGTATAAATGATGGACTATATATTGATGGAATTCTATTGTATTATAAGAAATGATCAACAGGATGCTCTCAGAAAAACCTGGAAAGACTTACATGAACTAATGCAAAGTGAAATGAGCAGAACCAGGAGAACATTATACACAGTTAACAGCAATATTGTACAATGGTGAATTGTGAATTGCTTAGCTATTCTTAGCAATGCAATGATCCAGGACAATTCCAAAGGATTTATGATGAAAAATGCTTTCTCCAGAGAAAGAACTGATGGAGTCTAAATGCCAATTAAAGCATACTTTTTTAACTCTATTTTTCTTGGAGTTTTTGTTTTGTTTTTGTTCCGTGTTTTCTTTCACATGACTAATATGGAACTATGTTTTTTTATGACTAAGCATGTATAATTTATATCAAATTGTTTGCCTTCTCAATGAGGGAAGTAGAGAATTTGGAACTCAAAATTTTAAAAAACAAATGTTAAAATTTGTTTTTTACACGTAATTGGGGGGAAAATATTTAATATATATATATATATGTTTATGTATGAAAATTCCAAAGTCAGGGTTAGAGTATAGTGAACTTCATGAAATAACTGGATGAATGCTTTTCCAGCATTAAACAGGTTAATTTTGATGAGGTTTGAAAGAGTTTGAAAGTAAATGGTTTAGAGTTCTGAAAAGGAGATTTGAGAAAGAATTTTTGATCCCATTGAAATATAGAAACAATTTAGGAATTTTTAAAGCAATGTTTCTTTGATAGTTGCTGCATGTTTCTTTTCCCCAATCAATATGAGTACAAAATAGGCTTCGTGAAATGCATATTAATTGATTGATAGAAAAAGGATTATCTCTTTGCTTTGTTTTAAATAGTTATACTAAAGGATTAATAGTTTAGAAAATTTAAAGGAATTGATTTGGCTCTTTGGGTAATTCAAATAATAAAAAAAAGCAGTAAGGGGGAGTTGGCAGTGTCACCATGAATTTTTGAACATAAGCTAACTAAAAACAACAGACTATTGCAAAAAAAAAAAAAGGTGAGATTTAAATACTGCCAATCAGTAATTGATCAGGTTGAAAATTTTGTTGTAGTAAATTAGAAGAATTTAACCTGTCTTTGTATGTACCCAATTTTCCAGGGTTGTTGGGAGAAGCATATGATTGTGAAGCTCTTAGCATAGTGTCTGGCTTGTGTAGGAATTCAACTGGACATGGGTGCTTTTCCTAATTAGCATGAAATGTTAACAAATTTGCAGATATATTTCAGGAATGCAAATTCTAATTGAAAAGTCATAGACTAAACATTTTAAAACACTTCTGAAAACAGGCCTTTGAAATTCCTTAAAGTCATTTTTAAAATGGCCTAGAAAAAGCCTGGCATGTGGTAAGCACTATATGAGTTACTATTCTGTGAAAATACCAGGAGTTATAAGATAAATGACTTTCTATAAACTGATGAACTTGAAATGCATTTGACTAAATTAATATCACCTAATATATGTTGTTTTAATAAATTAGAAAATAATAACTCAATGTTAGGAGAAGTAAGTCGCAGAGTCCCCTTCCAGGTTTTTTGTTTGTGAGTTGTGAGATTTTAATAGCCCTGCTGACGGGGTATTGTGAAACTCTGTAGCACAGCTGTTTGAGAAACTAGGACTTCTCCCAGCCAAAATGGAAGAATGTACAGGCTGATAATTTGGAGAATCATGAAACTGTACCTTGAATCCAAAGATTTCTTCTGTGTGTATGAACTTGTGTTACTGTATATGAACACAATACCTGACTCTTGTTAAGACAATGGTCCCCTACAATGATGCTGAGCTGAAGGCTAAACAGGTGTCTTAGGTCTGGTTGACTGAGGAAGGTAAACCACTCTTCCCTAGAATTTCTATCTCCAAATATACTTTTTAGGTCATAAGGGGGTCATCATAGAGGGTCGAAGGCAAGCTCTGTCCACCAATAAGACCCAGTATTTTGGTCTGCTCCACCTGTATTTTCTGGGTTATCAAGCACTATAAAACTAAGGCCCTGGAGGAAGTAGGCATCTCAGACCATGAGGAAGATCTGAGGTCCACTTCATTAGTGGGGGCCATGGATCCTTAAATAAAGTACCATTGGCTCAGAGCTCCGCCTCAGTGGTTTTTTCTTGCAGATCGGACAATTTTAGAATTCTCATACAACTTAAAGTCTTCCAATGACCTAACAGACAAACTCATTCATTGATTCAATCAACAAACATTTATTAAGCTTCTGTTGTGGGCAGAGCACTACACTAGATGCTGCAGGAAATTAAATGTGTATATGCACACTTAGTCCAATCTGATATAAGATATTAAATATTTTTATTTTTACACATCAGGAACTTCAGGCCCACAGAGGTTGTGACTCTCCTAGAATGGTTATGAGTGGTAAGTAACAGAGCGAGATTTAGAACCCAACACCTGTGACTCCAAACTGAGTGCTTTCCCACTCTACCACCTTAAGATCTCTGCCTTCTTGTGACTCACGCTCTATGGATTTTCCCTTAGAGCATTTTTTTTGCCCCTGCCTCTCACTCTGGCCATCAGGGGGCTGCAACCACACTTTGGATGGATAAGAATGCTACTGTAACTAGCATTAGCAATGCAAGTCCCCCTCACTGCTGCATCCACTCCAGGGATGGGTAATGTTCCAAGAGGGCACTTCGGAGCTGGGCTGCTTGTTGCTTGTCTCTGGTCTCAGCAACACAGGTGACCTAGGGTAGAAGAGAAGTGAGAGGTTTGTCGTCAAAAGTCACAGATCCAGCCATGAAGTCTAAATAGACACCTTGCAGGGTCTTAGTGGACTGGAATATGCTGGTCAAGTTTCTTAATATCAATCACTTGCATTATCCTTTTGTTCCTAAGGCATTAAACACTTGAGTCTTCTATCTGTGATGGACCATTAGTCATTCCTCTTCCCATTTCATAGAGAAGCAAACTGAGGCACAGAGTGGTGAGGTGATTTGCCTGAGGTCTTTCAAGGAGGGAATGGAGGGAATCTAACATTTCTGGTTATTGTTCAGTTGTTCAGTAGTGTCCAGCTCTCTGTGACGTGGGGTTTTCTTAGCAAAGATACAGGAATGGTTTGCCATTTCCTTTTCCAATGTTGTCCCCATTTTATAGACGAGGAACTGAGGCAAATAGGAGTTAAGTGACTTGCCCAGGGTCACACAACTAGTAAGTATCTGAGACTAGAGTCAAATTCATATCTTCCCAACTCTAGGCCCATTGTTCTATCCATGTAACTATCCAGCTGTCCCCAGAATCCAACATTTCTGCCTCTCAATTCTCATGTATAACCACTAGTCTGTATTGCCTCCTTATATCTTTTTTTCTTCTCCTCCTTTTATCTCTATAAGATGTGCTTGTTTCCTTTGTCTCTGTGGTGCTCCACACAACACAATGTCTATCTAGATATTTACTCTTATTTGATAATGACGCTGGTGACTGCTGAAAAAGAGAAAAGAGGAGGGAGGGGGAGAAAAATTTAAAACTCAAAAGCTTATGGAAGTGATTGTTGATAAATCAAAATAAATTAATAAAAAAAATTTAAAAAAAAAGAGTAGAGGCATGGGGGCCCCATTTTGCCTGCCATAATCATGACTTGGAAGACCACTGCCACTCATTTCCAGCTGTCATTGTTTTAATCAGAGCTGAACAGTTTTCCTGGTTGGAGAGAACATTACATTCCCATTATTTGTCTCAGGAATCCTAAGATTTGGGTTCAAGTCCAAGCTCCACCACTTGTTAGCTGTAAAACAGGAGTGGGGTTTGCCCTACCTCCCAGCATAGTTGTGAGGAAAGGCTGCCAGTCTTCAAAAGCTATGAATCATAGAATCACATATCTAGAACTGGAAAGGATTTCAGAGGCCAGGAAGTTCAATCTCATTTTTTTTTCAATCTCATTTTATAGAAGAGGAAATTCAGAAAGGGAGGGCAAGCGCCTCTTCCAAGAATAAAATCAACTTGCAAACTAGGATGAAGGGGGTGTTGATGTGGAGGGAAAGAGGAGAAAGGCACAGAGGAAAGCAAGCCCATGGGAATCATACATCTAGGGCTGATCTTACGTAGCATCACTTTATAAATGAGGAAATGGAGGCCCAGAGACGTACAAGTGACCTGTCTGAGGTCACATTGGATGAGAACTGTGATGCTCACCTAGGTTTACTGACTCAGCTCTTTCCACTGTACCAAACATAATTTTCAACCACCCTTCTTACCAAAAAGGAAGCTCTGAGAGTACTCTACTGAAACTCAATGCTTCCTTCATTTTCTGATCCACTTATTTCTAGTGTCTTTCAAATAGATAATACTAGCAAACACATCAACCAAGTCTGACAATACATGCAGTGTTCTTTACCCACCTTCTGCAAAGAAGGGGGAGATGTATATTTTCTTATTTCTTCTAAAACTAAATTAATCATTATAATTAGACAATGTTAATTTTCTTTATTGTTGCTGTGGTTTCCATTGACATGGTAGTCATTGAGTGTATTGTTTTCCTGGTTTTTCTTATTTCCTGAGCAGCAGAACTAATCTACTCTAGATCAGTTCACATAAGTCTTCTTTGTGTTTCTCTGATTTTTTCCCCTCCTTTTCTCTCTCTCTTTTATTCTGTGTTTCAAGGAGTAATTCCCTGAATAGGGGAGGGGAGGATATATTTGGATATGCATATATATATATATATATATGTAAATACATGTTTTTTCAAGCTATACTTGGAAGTGAAAGTTAAAAACAAAAGATATGAAAATTATTTAAACTTAAAAATAAGAGAACCCAGGTCATCTAATCCAAATCAAGGACCTTTTCTCTTAAGGATATCAGGTAGAATTTGGGACACAATGGATTTGGAGGTGTGATTTTTGTCACTTGATTGAACTGTGGCCTGCTGGCAAGCACCACTCAGAAATTGCCCACCAATCCTATCCTTCTTACCTTTGTCATGAAGAGCTTAGAGGTCACAAACCCATGTTCCTTCTGAATGTCCAGCACCCTAAAAGATACACAGAGTCACAAGGAGAAATGTACTGTGTGGTCCGTACCTCTCCTTGGCTGAACGATCACTGTTACCCAAAGACTAAGGCAACAGCCAGCCAACAGTACTGTCTCACACCCCTGCCCTCAAGCTGGGCACTGCCATTCACAGAGCAGTCATAGCTCCTATTTCACAGTGGATAATACCTTTCACAACAGAATAACCGCCTGTCTTTCTTTGACCCTGATCTGCAAGGTGATGAGCCAAAACAGAATAGAATGTCAGGGCTGGAAAGCCACTAAAACCCAAAGACATTAAATGATTTCCTCCGAGTCACACAACTGGTAGCAAGTAGGGGTGTCAGGAATGTCTGTTTTAAGAATGTCTTTTGACTCCCAAACCAGAACTCTTTCCACTACAACACATTATCTCTGATCCACCCAGTCCACATTTCAAGTTAGAGGCTTGTAGCGGTGTCTCCCATAGTCCATTAGTCAGGAATATTTTCCAGGCCTCCTTTTTTTTTAAGCTCATAGGACATTTGCAAATTATGCATGACATAGTGGAAAGAGCATTGACTTTCTAGTCGGTGAGCCAGGGTTTAAATCCCCACCTCTGCTACTTGTGTGTTCTCAGACAATGTACTTCCTTTCTCTGGGCCTGAGATTCTTCATCTTTAAAATGAGAGAGATGGGATTATATGACCCCTAAGGCCTCTTCCAGCTCCCTTGTTTCCATCCTTCCTATGCACCCTCCTCCCCATTCCTTCAAAATCCATCCCCACAGTCCCCAAAGACCTAGTTTCTAAGTAGATTCTATTTCTTGGAAAAGTGACTTAAACTTTAAGATATACTCTTAAGAGTTTAATGTCCCCTCCTTAACCCAGGGAATAATACAAGTCACCATTTCTCCTAAGGAAAACCATCTCCTCCCAATTCAATCCTTCTCTACCAAGGGTCCATCCCACCAATTTTCCATAGTGTTCAGAGAAGACCCATAGGCTTAGTAGAATGTAAATTCCTTGAGGGCAAGAAACGGTTTCTTTGCAATCTCTAGCACAAAGCCTAGCAAAAAGAAAGTACTTTATAAAGCCCTGGTTGAATTTGATTTAATTTAAAATGGGTGGGAAGGTAACCCCTTTGAGATTCTAACTGCTTCAGGGTATAATGGTTCCTTATTTCCAACAGAGTGACTTAAAAATCAAGGAGACTTAGTCAGAAGGAAGTGAAGCCATTCTGTGTAATCTGAGTTTTCCAGGTCTTAATCTCCCCACTGGGTCCCAAATCTCCCTCTCATTTACCATCTGTTTATCAAGCCCCCTGGATTTCTCTCCTTCCTAAGGGAGGAAACCTATCCCCCAGCCCAGGGTGCTCTAACCAGGGTACTCAGCCACGTAGAGCAGCATCTGAAATTACCTTACTGCCTCTCGGTCCAGGATCTCCAGCAGCTTGGCGATATCTCCTGCACTGTCACTCAGCCAGAGAGAGAACTTGCAGGTCTGACTATCCAGGGTCAGGGCCCTCTGGATGCATTGTTGTAGGAGGGTAACGCTAATGTTTCCACTGCACAGGACCACAGTCACTCTACAAAGAGAGACAGCAAGTGGGGAAGCCCTTGAGGCCAGTTTAGGGCTCCCTCTTTCTAAAAATGTTGAGTACCATTATGATTTGATTCAGGCACTGCTCAATTGCCTATAAATTAAGTGATTATAGTCCATGGTCATACAGCTAAATTCCAGAGGCTCTGGTCTTCCTGATTCCAAGCCCAGTACACTACTACCCACTGCCCCACACTGCCTTTCATGGTTGACATTAGCCAATTATAATTTGGATATGAGCCCAAACTCAAGATTTTCTATGATGTGGTTCCTTACTTCTCAAAAACTCCCCTTCATGTGTCAGCTAAACTGGACTATTCATAATTTCTTATACATATCTCCCAATTTCTCACCCTCCACCTCCCACCCTATGGCTCATCCCTCTACCTGGAATAGCCTTTCTTCTAGTTCCAACAATACAGTTCTGGGCAGCTAGGTGGCACAGTGGATAGAGCATGGCCTGGGAGTCAGGAGGACCTGAGTTCAAATCTGAATTCAGACACATAACACTTACTAGCTGTGTGACTCCGGGCAAGTCACTTAACCCCAATTACCTCCCCCCCCAAAAAAAGAAAAAGAAAGTCAACCCTTGAAGCCCAGCTCAAAAGCCATCTCATTCATGAAGCCTTCCCTGATTCTTCCAGTCAAAAGTGTTCTTTTGAATTCCTATAGCACTTGGTTTATACCTCTCTGATGATCATTATCACAGCTAGGTATTCTAGGGTTTTGTGTGTACACGTGTGTGTGTGTATCTATCTCCCCTATTAGATTGTAAGTTCTAGGGTTTATGTCTTCAAGAGCTTTGTTGTTGTTGTTCAGGTTTCTGGAGCGATTTGCCATTTCCTTCTCCAACTCATTTTACGATGAGGAACTGAAGCAATTAGGGTTAAGTGACTTGCCCAGGGTCACACAGTTAGTAAGTGTCTGAGGCCAGATTTGAACTTATGATGATGAGTCTTCCTTATTCCAAGCCCCGGGCTCTATCCACTCTGGCACCACCTAGCTGCCCCCTCAAGAGCTTTGTACCTCTCTCCAAACCCTATAGTGACTTGCATATAATAGAAGTTTAACAAATGTTTATTGAATAATAGTACAAATAAGAAAATGCCCTAAGTAGTAAATGTATTTGAAATGTATTTGTTTCTACAACATTTAGAGCAAGCTTGGGCTGACCTAAGCACTTAAAAATGAACTGTTCCTAAATCAGTCATCAGACTCTCACTGAGTCGAGTTCTGCCCAACTCAGAAACATCCTAGACTTGTTGACTGAGTTTGACTCCAAGTGCAAGATGACAAGTCTCTCTATCAAGTCATCAGTATCCAAGGATGACATCTTTCCCAGTGGTTTGTTTTTCATTGACTGCCACTCCTCCCCTCCCACACACACACACACACACCCCCTGCCCCCCAGCCCTGGAATGCAGACAGTGGACTTTTGCTGGCAAAGTTAGCTTCTACACGACCTAGTTGTCTGCTGGCTGGATGCAGAAAGGGAGCTGTCTCTGTGTTGGACTGTCTAGTTCTTGCCGAGTTTGCTTCAGCTAAGATATATTTCTGTAATCGCTGGCACGAGTCACCACTGTCTCTCTTGGACTGGGAAATGGATGGATTTCCCAGGATATCAGTGAAACAGGCACTTGTTCTCATCAAGCAAAGTGGAGATTCTCAACGTCAGCAACTGCTTAACTGTAAGCTCTCCTCTCTAGAGTTCTGGATTTTGAGTCAGAGAACCAAGGCTGAAATCTTGGCTTTGCCTCTTACCACATGCATGACCTCAGGCAAATCTTCTTTCTCCAGAACTCAGTTCTCTCATCTGGAAAATTATTTGGTTGGACCCTAGAACCTCTAAGGTCCCTTAGGATTTTGTGGTCCTTTTTTGGCTTGTACCCTCTGCTGTGTAGGTAGACTGGGCTCCTCACCTTCTTCCCAATACACTTTGCACATTCCAACCTTTGTGACTTTTCGAGTCCTTCTCTCTATAATGCCTACAATGTCTTCCCCTATCATCTCAGACTGTACAAATTCTACCCATCTTCCAAAACCCATCTCAAGTTCTCCTTCTCTATGAAGTTTTTTCAACCATTTAATCTACAGTCATCCTTACTTTACACTTAATTTTTTAAAAATTCTGCTCATTTATACATAGTGTTTCTGTGCATAGCACATAGTAGGTGCTTGATTAATATTTGTTGAATGAAAGAAGCTCCCCATTAGAATTAGCCTTCATTATTGTCCCAGGACAGAACCCACCCTGAACGATCAAAAAAGCCTGCTGGTTAATCTGTAATTCAAATGGGCATTAAATTCCTACCATGTGCAAGGCACTAGGGACATGGAGGGAAAAAACCAAAAAGGTCCTGTTCCTAGAGTTTATAATTTACCATGAGCCTCATCTGGCTCTTCTCAGCTCAGAGGCATATGATACTCTTACCCCAAGCTCACTTGGTAAAGTCAGTCCCATTGAGGTTGAGACTGGTGTGTTATCTTTTTTTTTTTTTTTAGGCAATTGGGGTTAAGTGACTTGCCCAGGGTCACACAGCTAGTAAGTGTCAAGTGTTTGGTCTGAGGTCGGATTTGAACTCAGGTCCTCCTGACTTCAGGGCCAGTGCTCTATCCACTGAACCACCTAGCTGCTCCGTGTGTTATCTTTTTTAGGGAGTATTTTTATTTTATTAAGGGGGTGAAGGGATGGGTCAATATCTGCTCCAAAAGAACATTAGTTAGCATTCATATTGTGCTTGAAGGTTTGCAAAGCACTTTATATGTGATCCTCATAATGACCTATAAATTAAGTACTATTATTATCTCAATTTACAGATGAGGAAACTGAGGCTAGGAGATGTTAAGTGACTTGCCCAGGATCACCCAAGTAGTAAGCAGCTGAGGCAAGATTTTAATTCAAGTCATCTAGACTGTAAGTCCATCAGTCTAGCTACTGTGCAACATAGCTGCCTCTTATCTCTACGGGGGAGATTTCTGGCAATATTGTGGCCAGGAGAAGGAAGAAACATTCTCAAGAAAAACCTTCTAGGAATGCCTCAAATAGGACCTTGTGGCTGGCAACTTGATATGCTTACTAAAAGACTCTGAATTGGATATTCTCATTAACTTTTTTTTTTGGTTTTTTTGGTGAGGCAATCGGGTTAAGTGACTTACCCAGGGTCACACAGCTAATATGTGTCAAGTGTCTGAGACCAGATTTGAACTCAGGTCCTCCTGACTCCAAGGCCAGAGCTCTATCCACTGGGCCACCTGACTGCCCCTATGTTCGCATTAACTTTGAGGGATTTGTTTAATCTCTAGTGTTCATATTCTTGCCTCAAAGGTAAAATGTTGACACTTTAATCTCCTTTTCCAAGAGAACTGGAGAAAGCAAACTTTGACCAGAAAGTGATGTTAGCCTGTAACGCTTAACCTTGCCTGACCTTCACAAGTTCACAACCAGCATTGCCTCACATGCTCTCTTACCTGCTAATTTACCTGCTAATTTACATGTTAATTTATGAAGGGCAATGGGAAATTACAGCACTTTACCAAATCTGAATGGTTCTCAGTTAAGGGAGAGAGCAGATGCCTACATCAGTCATATGTGATTATAGGTGGTGATGGAAGAAAAAGAGGCTAAAGTAATTGGGGGCTGGTTATATGTGATAGATCTTTAAAGAAGGGGAATCAACCAATTGGGTTAGGGGAATGAGCACCCTGAGCCAGGGGCTGGAGATTAGCAAAGATTGGTAAAGTAATGAGAGGAGAAAAACTGAAGCCTGAAGCAAGGAGTCATCTGGCCCTGTTCTGAGGAGTCCATTTCCCAAGCTGTATTTATGTAAAGCTGGATTTTTTTCCACGGTTTGTCTTTGCCCTAGATTCTCTTGAAGGGAATTTTTCATTCCATCATAAAAGATCCCATCAAAGAGATCAAGATCCATTGAAGTTTCAAAGTTCATAGTATTTGTTTAGAGAACAAACAGGAGGCGGGGCAGCTAGGTGGCTAAGTGGAGAGAGAGAGAGCACCAGTCCTGGAGTCAGGAGGATCTAAGTTCAAGTATGGCCTCAGACACTTGACACTCCCTAGCTATGAGATCCTAGGTAAGTCATTTACCACCACCACCACCCCCATTGCCAGAGAGAGAGAGAGAGAAATAAAGGTATGAATGAATTTATCTCTTCTACACATCTAGAGGCCTTGAGGTCAAACTATATCTTGAATAACAATGTTCTGATAGACCTGCCACATTGTCTTGAACGTAGTAAGGTTTGGATAAATATTGATTTGATATTGCCTGGTGGATGTAAATGAATGCTGGCCATCTGCCAGCCAGAGCACATAGGCAACCACAAATGCATACGTTTTTCAGGACTTAGTCTATCCATCAGGTACCTTTTGCCCTTTAACTCTGGTAACTTCCCAGCCGCAATAGCAGCTAGACCAATGGCGCCTTCTGCATCTACTGTGGCTCTCTCATACTCCAGCAGCCTCAGCATGGAAATCAAAATGTCTTCTTCCCTGCCAAAAGGAAGGATGAATACTGAAGAAATAAGCAAAAGAGACAGGACCCCTTTACCTCCCTGATAGCTGCAAGTCTCCCTCTACGCATGCAAGCTATCTAGGAAACATACGTCACGGTAACAATCTTGTCCACAAGCTCTCCTATCAGCTGCAGTGTATTTTTCCTGGAACATGATTCACTCAGGTCTGTGGAGAAAAAAGGGATATGCCTTGGGTTAAGAAGCTCCCTCCCAAAATTCTACTAAGCAAAACCATAGGCTAACTTTAGAGGCAGGGAGATTCCGGGGCAGAGCCAGAAACTGGGGGTTTCTGCTCTCTTTCAAGCACCATAATAGCCTTTGTCCAAGGAAAAGGGCCAAAAAACCCTAGATTAGGAAGAGAAGTATCAGGATGCTCCCCTTTGAGTGGGAGGAATCAGGTTAGTGTAACACCTACAGAAAATAGACACTCTGGGCCACAAGTGTGAGACTACTCTTAGGAAAGTTGTAAAATGAGGCACCAGCTTGGCTAAGAGCAAAAATCCATTAGATTGCCATCTAATAACTTTCAACTTTAACCATTCTTGTGACATTGAGGCACTAAACTTTACTATTTTACTGCTGCTCTATGACGTCAAGTAATATAGCACCCTCTGAATTCAGTGTCCTAAGACAAAACTCTGATTGCCCTACCCTAGTTAACCCTCTGGTCAAGTTCTTAGGGAAAAGACTGGAATTTTGAGCTTCTGCAGAGTTGAAAGTATAATAGGAGGTAGGTTGATACTTGGTGTTAACTAAGCATCAATATTGAATCAAACAGTTGGCTTAATAATTAAATAGGAAACCTATGAAAGAATATAAGCTCTTTGAGGACAGGATAAACAACTTTATTGTTGTTTTTGTATCCCCCAGGAAGCAGCATTATCAGAGAGCTAGCCTTGGAGCCAGGAAGACCTGGCTGAAATTCCACCTCTGGAGTATACTGCCTATCAACTCAGGGCTCTGGACAACACTCTGAGGCTTTGAATTGCAGATAAGGTGCTGACCTTCATTGACAGAAGGAGTTGCTTCACCTATACTGTACCAGTGGTATAGGAGCTGAAGTCTCTATCCCCATCACAATCCTAGAGCTCAGCATAATGCCTGACGAATAGTAGATGTTTATTAAATGCTTGTTGGTTGATTAATCAATTGGTCTGTGAAAGGCATGGGAATAAGGGACAGGTCCAGGAGCCAGGGTAGGGCCCAGATAAAATCAAAGTCTTAAGGGGGTCAGGAGGGCTCCTACCTCTATAGAACATGTGACCACCCCAGGTCTGGCTCTCTCCTGGATGGCTCATCTTCAGAGAATGCTTTACAACAGGGAAACTCTCAGGTTGGACACCCTGGGGAAAGAGAATGGCATCAAGTGACTTGGAGAAGTGCAGCTCCATGGGGAAAATATTGAACTAAGCAATGCAGAAGCCTGGGTTCTCATCGTTGCTGGGATGCATGAGCAGGAAAGCGTTTGGTCTCTCTAGACCTCATTATCCTCATCCACCAAAGGATGGGGCTGGAGGAGATGATCTCAAAGCCTCTATCAGCTCTAGCTTTCTGCACGGCCCCCTCTTTGTTTTCTTCCACTTTCCTTTCTACATTTTGTTCTCTCTCCTTTGCCCTTTGAAATACCCGGGGATTGATCAGCCCTGCCATGGGAGGCCAGAGCAGGCTGAGTTCTGGTTGTACAAGCACCACTGAATCTCCTAGCAAAACCAGTAGCAGTGGGAGGAGGTGGGAACTTACGATCACAGAGACGTGGGGGTTCAGCTGCTTCAGTGCAGCTGCAGAGCCTGCCAGAAGTCCACAAGGGCCTCCAGCAGGGAACACCACTGCATCCAGGTTTGGTACCTGCCTGAAGATTTCCAGTCCCATCGTGCCCAGACCAGAGAGATATTCGATATTGTCTGCTCTGCCGGGAGATAGAAGGTGTGAATGAAGAAAAAGAAAAATTCCACCTCTGGCTCATTGGAAATCGGTTCAACAAATTAAAGAAACATTTATTAAGTATCTAGTAGGTGCAAAGTAGGGGCATCTAGGTGGTACAGTGGATAGAGCACAGGGCTGGGAACCAGGAAGACTCATCTTCCTGAGCTCAAATCTGGCCTCAGTCACTTACTAGCTGTGTGGCCCTAGGCAAGTCACTTAACCCTGTTTGCTTCAGTTCCTCATCTGTAAAAGGAGCTGGAGAAGGAAATGGCAAACCATTCCAGTATCTTTTCCAAGAAAACCCCAAATGGGTCAAGGAGAATCAGACACAACTGAACAACAACAAAAGTTTACAAAGAGCTTTACATACATGAACTCATTTGATCCTAAGAATAGTCTTATGGGGTAGGTGCTATTATTTTTCTCACTTTCCAAATGAGGGAACTGAGGCTGAGAAAGATTAAGTGACTTTTCGAGGGTCACAAAGCTAGTATACATGTATACTAGTATACACAAAGCATGTATAAGACATGATTTGAACTTGGGTCTTCTTCATTCTAACACTTCATCCACTATGCCACATAGCTTTCCTCCATCTAAGTATAATACAAAATAATTTGAGGTAAATAAAAAGTAGAAGTCTTCTGGGACCTGGAAAGGTTTCACAAAAGAGAGAGATCCTAAGGTGAACAGTGAGAGAAAGTAACAAGTCTCAAAGATTTCCAGAGATGAGAAAAAAACAGATTTCAGGGGTGAGGATGATTTTCCATAAATGCATGGAGGGAAGTTCTGAACTCAGGGACAACTTAACCCAATTTGACCAGAATGGAAAGTGTGTGTACCAGTTAATATGAAACAAGCTGGAAAAGTTGGAAGAACCCAGATTTTGGAAGACCTAAAATGCTAGGCTAAAACATTTGTATTGTATCCTAAGAGTTTAAAGCAAAGAGGTGGCATAGTAAACTATGTGCCTTAGAAAGATTGGTAGCTGTGGAGGGAACACATAACTGTAACAAAGCTAGATGGAGGGTTGAAAGCAACAGATAACACTTTGTCTCTCCAACAATCATTGCCTGAGAATCCTTGGGAAGTGAGAGAAACTTGTCAAACATCATTGATCTGCGTCAGAAATGGGACCTTTCATTGTAATAATTTTGTGGAGGCTGTGTCTCTCCAACTGATCTGAGAACAGCAGCACTATTTAGCACTGATGCTTGGGGAGAGACTCCATCTACTTCCTGGAGGAAAACTTGAAGTGCCAATATCTTTGGTCTTTGGTTAGTGGAGGCCTCAGCCAACTATAAAAAGTCCTTCACTAAACATTGTTAGGCTCCATAAGTTTTGTGAGTATTCTGTCTTATGTTTTTCTAGTGTGTCCTCTGACCTGGCACAAAATCAAGCACTTAAAAGAACATTTGCTGCTAAATGGTAGGGAAAACGGGCAGGAGAACTTAACTACCCCTCCTGCCCTCAAAAGCCTCTTTGAGCCATAAACCAAGTTTTGATCAGACGTGAAGTTGTATCCTATTGAGTTAGACCATCAATACAGAAATCTGGGATAGACATGGCAGCTTCACAGTGCAGACTTGCCTAGAAGAAAGAGAGCTGGATTAGGATCAAAGCAATGACTAACCGTGATTCCAGAGGACACATGATGAAGCATGCTGTCCAACCTCTAACATGAAGGTGATGAGTATGGAATGAAACATTTTTTAATATGGCCATTTGTTTTATTTAATAATGCACATTTGATAAGTGTTTTGTTTTTCTTTCTTTTTCCCCAATATATGTAGGTGGTGTGATAAGATGGGAGGTAGAGAAAGTAGATTTTGTTCGTTAAAAAAAAATTTAATTTTAGAAATAAATTACAAAAAAAATTTTTTAGAAATAAATTCAATGAAACAATATAGGCTAGTTATGTTATACGAATAAGTAATAACAGGTAGGTAGCTTGAGAGCTTCACAGTTTCCCACTAAATATAAAAAGGCCTACAGAGAGATCCCTGATGTGGTGGACCAGCATTTCATAGGAAGAAAGTTGTGATCTGCACAGAGAGAGAAGGAGAGTCTTCATTGATCAGATCATGGATTAACTGAAATATGAAAGTATAGTTATCCCTCTATTATATTGTAAGTTCCTCAAGGGAAAGCACTATGTATTATATAAATTTTGTATCGGTTCCTTTATCTAACAGTGATCTGTGTATATTATGGACACCAAGTAAATATTTTTGTAAAGAAGGGAAAAGGACCCAGGACTTGATTCTCATGACCAAAGTTGCCAGCTAAGGAGTGAAGCATTCCTGGTTCTAGAATGACTACAACCTTCTGTCTCACAGCTGAGCCTGATAGACTCCAGGTCTGGTCCACTTACTCCTCTAGGTAGAGATAATCATTCTTCTGAGCTAGCTGTTGGGCGTGACTCCGTGAGTCTTTGGCCGATCCACCAAAGGTGATCACTACGGCACCGTAGTCCCGACACATCCTCACCCTGGTCACAGAGGTACTGGTGGGCATGATGACAAACACTGGGATCTGGAGTTCACTTGCATGGTAGGCCACTGCCATGGAGAAGTTGCCGTCAGAGGCAACAATCACTCCCTTTCTCTGCTGGTCCTGTACAAACATGCAACGCTGTCAGCTTCTGCCTGGGTTAAAATCTACCTCTTAGAAGCAGCCCTGCCATTCCTCCATCCTTACTCTAACCAGTTATAACCCTTGACCTCTATCCAAGAGCTCCAAACTCACCACTTTCAGGGTCTGGTTACCTTGGATGGAATATATACAAGCCTGAATTTGTTCTCTTGCTAATTCTGTTCTGACCCTGAAGCCCCTGCAGATTCCATGTATCCTGCTAGCTTGAATCTTAGATCCGTCCTTTGTGCTATTTTCCAAGATCTATGTCCCTTTGGTTATTGACTACCTAGGTTTTGATTTGTTCTCAGATTCTCCAAGTATCCCAGATGTAGAGTTTAAAATTTTCCAAACTACAATAAAAGAAACAGAGGCAGAGCTCTGAGCCAATGGCAATTTATTAAAGGGTCCATGGTCCCCTCTTATGAAGTGGACTCCAGAGCTTCCTCATGGTCTGAGATGCTCCTTTCTTCCAGAGCCTTATTTTTATAAGGCTTGATACCAGATTTGATCTTAAACATTTTAGAGGGGCTACACAAAATACAGAATCCCATTGGATGCTCTGAGGGTCAAAAAATGATGCATCAGCTAGAGATGGCATTTCAGCAGGGGGGTGTCTTCAGTTGGGTGAATCATGGGGCATCTGCACTAAGTAGTCACACGATGGTCATAAGATGGTCACCTGCTCATGTTGGACAAGAGAAAGTGTTCTGGAAGTACAAAAATTAGTTGGGGGATTTTCTATGTAACTGAGTCACCTCTGCCACACTGGGCTTGGTCACTGTAACAGGAGAAAACAAGGGCGGAGGGTCTCTAGTTAGCTTCCTATGATTAAGCAAGTCAACTTACAATCTGTAGCTCACAGCTCTGGGGCCTAATATATAGAACTTACAATCACTACTCCTATGGAATCGTATCAAACTGATTAATATTGATTGGACTAGAATAGGGTTCCAATGAATCCTTTTTCATACAGACTAATTAGGTGTCAACCTTAATTCTTCACCCTCTTCCCCCTCCCCACCCCCATATCCAATCCCTTGCCAAGTCTTATGCATTTGAGCTTCCTAATAGCTCTCATATATTCTCCCTTCTCTCCTCTGACATTGCCACCATCTTGGTAAAGTCCGTCATCTCTTCACATTCAGACTATTGGAATAGCCTGCTGGTTGGTCTCCTTGCCATAAGCCTCTCCCCAATTCAATCCATCCTCCATCTAGCACCTACTCGATAAACTCTAAATGCTCCCTATATCTTCCAGAATCAAATACCAAACCCTCTGTTTGGTGTTCAAACCCTTCATAACCTGCCCCCTCTATCTTATCTTCTTTCACCTTATTCACCGTTACATACTCTTTGATCCAGTGGAGAATTTGGTGAGTAATACAGGTTGGTAGGCAAGTAATACAAATAGCTAATATTTATATCGGAAGTTATATGCCTACCTCATTTGATCTTCAAAACCACCTTATAAGGCAAGTACTATAAGTAGCATTACCTCTATTTTACAGGTGAGGAAACTGAGGCTCAAAGAGATAAAATGAGTTGCCTGTGGTCACATAATTACTAAGCATTAGAGGCAGGATTAGAACCCAGGTCTTCCTAACTCTAAATCTATAACTCTGTCCGTTGCATTTTTTGTTGTTGTTGAATTGTTTCAGTCATGTCCAACTCTCCATGACTCCATTAGGGGTTTTCTTGCCAAAGGTCCTGGAGGGATGTGCCATTTCTTTCTCCAGTTCATTTTACAGATAAGGAAACTGAGGCAAATAGGGTTAAGTGACTTGCCCAGGATCACACAGGTAGTAAGTGTCTGAGGCCAGATTTGAACTCAGGAAGATGAGTATTCCTGACTTCAGACCTAGCACTCTATCCACTGTGCCACCTAGCTGCCCTGCTCACTACATTAAGCAGCTTCTGAAATGTGTTGGGTATTAAATGTCAAAGCAAGGCCATAAATAAGATAATACAAATTAAACCCAATATTTCAAGTCTACCCCAAAGCATCAGGAATAGGCACTAATTTGGGAAAGCTAGCTGGCACAGTGGATAGCAAACTGGTCCTAAAGTCAGGAGGACCAGAGTTCAAATCCAGCCTCAGACACTAGCTATGTTACCCTGGGCAAATCATTTAACCCTGATAGTCTCCACTCCACCACCCATCAAAAAAAAGGAACAGGCACTAATTTAAATATTTCTGTGTAATATATGTATATATATATATGTGTGTGTATACATACAAATATGTGTGTGTATGTATACATACATATATATGTGTTTGTTTGTGTGTGTGTGTGTGTGTGTGTGGTGGTACCATAAACAGAAGGAAAAAGTAGGAGAAATTAGCAGGGAGAAGTATTAGAAGGTATAACTCTTAGGAGGGAGTGGGGCAGGGTCTCTTTTTTCATCTGGATGTTATCTACAACATTTTCCAGCATTCAGAATATCTCATATGCTTAATAAAGCACTGCCATGCTCTATTTCCAAGGACAGGCTTCATCATCTATCTGTCTGTACCTATTCAACCAATCACAGGTTTCTACACCCACCATCCACATTCCCTAACCTCCCGATCAACTGGAACATTCTAAATATGCTTACTGACAAACTTTTTCCATCAATTCCCACCTGATGGAGAGAGGCCAAGAGACAGAGCACTCCTCGGTCCTTCACTGAGCCTGTGTACTGGAGAAATTCCTTCTTTAGGTAGAGCTCCATGCCATATTTCTTGGACAGTCTAGAATACTGGAGATGAAAGGAAAACAGTTAGTCTGCTGTACCGAGTCCTAAAAATTACTAAACTCCCTTATTCAATGCTAATATATCTAGCTCCTATTTGCCAATATGGTCTCCTCATTCTTCCATATTCTATCAAGGATAGTCTATAAGAGCTAGTGAACAAGATAGTGTCTGAGAATAGGGTTTAGATTTCTTAAACCTGTCAGAGTCTCGTGGCTCCATAGCTTGGGCAGAAAAGAAGATAGAGTGAAAGGGGTATTACACTTAAAATATATATAAAGGACCCAGCAATACCACTACAAGGTCTATATCCCAAAGAGATCAAAGGAGAAGGACCAGTGTGTACAAAAATGTGTATAGCAGCTCTTTTAGTGGTGGCAAAGAATTTTAATTGAGCAACAGCTGAATAAGTTGTGGTATATGATTGTGATGGAACACTATTGTGCTGTAAGAAATGACAAGGAGGATGGTTTCAGAAAAACTTGAGAAGACCTATATGAACTGATGCAAAGTAAAGTGAGGACCAGAAGATCATTGTACTCAGTAATAGTAATATTATAAAGACGATCAATTGTGAAAGACTTAACTACTCTGATCAGTATAATGGTCTAAGACAATTTGGAAGGACTCCAAGAAAAATGCTGTCTGCCTTTAGAGAGAGAACTGATGAACTCTGAGTGCAAATTGAAGTATAATCCCAACCTAATCCTAGAAAGTAAGGAACCAAAAAGGAGGTGTTAAGCTAATTCAAAATATAGCGGTCCCTTTATAAGGTATGAAAAGCATCCTTTTAATGAATTAGAATGAGCAACATAATTGGCCATGAAGTGATTGGCAAGGTGGCCCTTAAAAGACAGTGGACCAGTTTGAGAGGAGGTGAATTTAAATGAGTCTGTTAATTATCCATATTTTAAAAGGAATGCAGCTCCCAACAAGAAGATAAGTGGAGTTGGAAAAAGGAGAAGCTTTAAGAAGTTTAGAAGCAACATGAATAAGGGAGAGCCAAAACACAGAGGATGGAGGCAAGAGGTGTGTGTGTGTGTATGTGTGTGTAGGGTGGGTGGGGCACAACCTCAGGAGGGAAGCGATGCCTCTACCAGTCTTATCTTTTGCTTTAACTCTTTCAGAAATTCTTGTTGTGCTTGGGTCCAATTAGCATTTTTCTTTGAGGCTTTAAAAGAAGTTTTGTTTTGTTTTTGGTAGCTGTTCTCACACTGTTGTCTTCTGAGTTTAAGTCTTGGCCTCCCCTGTCATGGTTCTATTTATGTTGTTTGTTCATTTTTCCAGCCTATTTCTTGACTTTGAACTTTATGTAAAAGTTGGACTCTGCTCACTTGGGTATGGGGAGGCACTATCCTAAGCTCCAAGATTTTTCATGCTGCTGTTTTCAGTTAGTTCTGGGAATCTGCAAGTTTCTGATGCTTCCAGAGTGGTATGATGCAGGGAGAGGTGTGGTCACTGTTCTCCTGATCTATGTTCTAGTGTTTACCAAGGAAAGGCCCCTGCTTCCCTATAGTCACAAGCACTAGTGCTTCTCTTTGCCTTGGAACTTTGACCAGGCCCCTGCTCCCTTGTGACTGACCAGAAGGTTTCTCTCTGCCCTGGAACTGACCCAGAACTGTGTTGGGGCAATAGAATTGCCAGTCAGCAATAGCTACACCCATTGCCAGTAAAACATCCCCTGTAATCTCTTTCTGACCAGTTGTCCAACCCCCCTTATGGTCTTTGGGCTGAGAGCTCCCAAAGCCACTGCTGTCATAATCACGTCCAAAGCCCACCACTGGTGCTCCCATCCTGATGTTACAGATCTTTCCTGTGGATCTCCTAAATTGTCTTAGGCTGGAAAAATGTTTCTCTCTGACCTTTTGGTGTCTCTGCCACTCCAAAATTTGACTTGAAGAATTATTTTAAAGTTGTTTGGAGGGGACTATTGGGAGAATTCAACTGGGTCCCAGGCTGTCCTGTGCCATCTTGGCTCTGCCCCACCCTCTTTCTTTTAAACAGCCCAGTTTCTATTGAGGGTATCACCATTCTTCCAGTCCCCCAAATGGGAAAGTTCAGTGTCCTCTCCCATACTTCCCTCTCCCTCACCTCCTTATTTTTATTTTTGCCCCCACAGTACCTCTCACAACTTTCTCTCCATTCGCACAACCACTATCCTAGTTTATGCCTTCATTACCCCTTATTATAATAGCCGTCTAATTGACTTCTCCATCTCCCTTCTCTCCCCTGTCCAATCTGTCCATTACACAATTGCCAAGCTATCTCCTCCCATTAGTGACCTTAGTGCAGCAGCTTCAGGGGTCACTTCCCCAACTGACACTCCAAGTACTAAGTCGGATGCTAGAAAGATGCTTACTATTACTCTCTTCAGAGCTCTAGGAGTCACCAGCAAATTAGCCCCTTCTCTCTTCTGAGTTGCTTATAGAGGATGACTCTCCCTCTAAGACAAATCCTATTTATTCCATGGATCCTTTTGACAGTCTTGTGAAACTTAAGGACCTCTATTGTTTTTAAAAGGTATAAAATAAAATACATAAGGATACAAAGGAAAGCAATTGTAATAAAATACAATTTTTAAAATGTTTAAGTTGGGACCCCAGATTAAGAACCCTCTAAGATTATACCCCTCATCTCTTTGCCCTATATATATATTTATATATTTATAACATACATTTATTTATAATATATAATTATATATTATATAATATGTAAGTATATATTTATATATTATAAATATATATTATATTTATAATATATATATGATATGTATATAGTTGTTTACATATGGACCCCTTCATAAGAATGTGAACTCCTGGAGGGCAGGGACCTAAGTTTTGCCTTTCCTTGCATCCCCAGCACTCGACACAGTGCTTTACATACAGTAAGTGCTTAATAAATGCTTGTTGACTCAATGACTGACTGCTCAAGAGCATTTTTCTGGGCTCCAAATGGCCTGTAAATTGGAGAAACTAATTTTTAATAATCATAGTCCCTGGCACTAGACTGGCATCCAGAACTTTTTGAAGATCTCATCCCATTTGATCGTCACAACAATACAGTTGCCATGGGTACAGTATGGTTTGGTTACTCAGCACTCAGACCACAGAGGTTGTGTCTTGACCAAAGTCCCATGGTTAGTGTCAAAGATAGGACTGGAACCCAGGTCTGCTTTTTTCATATCATACCGTGCACGGAGTGACCTGGACACCCTTCTGGATCTGGGAGGCTGCTGTGTTAATATCTTCCAATCTGATCAACTTAAAGTTGGGTGTTTCTTGGCAGGCCCTGCCTTCGGATGGCGTGACTGGGGGCTCCTCTCCATGCTCCAGGACCTTCAGCTTCCATGTCTTAGCATTCCCTTGAAGACCATCTTCTTCTACATAATTCCTTAACTGCTCAAGCTGGTTGGGTGTCTGGCACTGGCCACAGCTGCTGTTTTCCGGGGGCTCTTGTTCTTTGCTACCGGATGCTTGGAGGGCGGCAGCTTCAGATTTCTTTTCTTTATCATTGTTCCTGGAAGGAGAAAGAAGAGAAAGAAAGGGGACTTTGGTTACCCAAGAAATACTTCCTATGGGGACCTACTTAGTCTGAATTTCTCAGTAAGATATCATTTGTCAAAGTCAAGCCCAGGCTCTCCCATCCTTAAAAAATACCTTCATTGGGTCCCATAATCCTCTCAAGCTATTTTGTCCTATATATCTCTTCCCTTTCATAGACAAATTCCATTTAAAAAAAAATCTATCCACCATTTTATTTCCCCTTGTCATCTGACTTCCTATCACATCACTCAATTTAAATTTCTGTCTCCAAAGGCATCAGTGGTCTTTGATTTGACAAACATAGTGACCTTTCCTCAAGGCAGGTAGGTGGCACAGTAGATAGAAGGAGTCAGAGGGTGGCTGGAGACAGGAAGACCTGAGTTCAAATTTTACTTCTGACACTTACTATCAATATGACCCTGGGCAAGTCATTTAACTCTGCTTGCCTCAGTTACCTCATCTATAAAATAAGCTGAAGAAGTAAATGGCAAACTACTCCAGTACCTTTGTCAAGAAAATCCCAAAAGGGGTCACAAAGAGTTGGATACAACTGAAAAATGACCAAACAACAACAAATGTTACCTTTTCTCAGTCGTCATCTCTCTTGACCTCTTTGTACCAACTGACACTTTAGACTGACCTTTCCTGCTGTATACTCTCTTCACTCTGGCTTTTCATGACAGTGCTTTTTCTTGGGTTTTGTCCTATTTACATAGCCTCTCTTTTCTCATTTTTCTTTTCTGGACCATCAACCTTACCCTACCACCTAACCGTAGGTGTCCCCCAAGGCTCTATTTTGGGCCCGCTTTCTCTCTCTACTCCCTCACTTGGTCGTCTCCTTAGCTTCCATGGGTTCATTCTTATCTCTGTGCGTATGATTCCTTAATCTATGTATTCAACCCTACTGTCTCCTTGGAGATCCAGTACCACCAACTACCTACTGGACAATTCCAATTGGATATTCTATAGGTAGCTTCTCAAATTAAACATACTCAAAGCTGAACTTATAACTCTCTCCTGCCCAACCTATCTTTCTTTCTTTTTTTCACATTAAAAAATTTTTTAACATGTAATATCAGTGCTCTGCAATATAACTTATTTTACATGATTTGGCATTGAGATTATAAAATTTTGACATATATTCTTTAATCCTTCATCACTAAAACCACGTCACATGGGATATTAAGCCAGTTCTTGATGAACAGTCCATTTGTCCATATCTAGTCTTGATTATATCCCAAAGGTTTCCTTTTCTTAAAATATGTATGTATGCATATATATATATATATATATATATTTAATATCCTTTTCTTTCTAAATTTTGAGTTCCAAATTCTCTCCCTCCCTCCCACTCCTTCAACATCCACTGAGAAGGCTAGGAATATGATATCAATTATACATGTGAAATCATGCAAAGCATATTTCCATACTAACCATATCTTTTTTGAAAAGCAAGAAAAATTAAAAAGTAGGAAAATTATACTTCAATATGTACTCAGAGTTCATCAATTCTCTCTCTGGGGGCAGAGAGCATTTTTTCATCATGAGTCCTTTGGAATAGTCTTAGATCATTGTATTGATCAGAGTAGTCAAGTCTTTCACAGTTGATCATCATTATAACGTTGCTGTTACTGAACACAATGATCTCCTGGTTCTTCGTGCTTCACTTTGTAAAAAAAAAAAATACCGGTTTTTTAATATAATTTTATTTTTTCCCCAATTACTATTCCATGCTCCCCTAATTTGCTTATGGTATCACTCTTTATGTCTAAATCATGTACCCATTTTGACTTTATCTTGGTATATGGTGTAAGATGTTTATCTGTACCTAGTTTCTGCCACACTGTTTTCCAGTTTTCCTGGCAGATTTTGTCAAATAGTTAATTCTTGTCCCAAAAGCTTGTATCTTTGGGATTATCAAACACTGAATTACTATGGTCATGTACTACTATGTATTATCTGCCTAATCTATTCCACTGATCCACCACTCTATTTCTTAGCCAGGACCAAGTTGTTTTGATGATTACTTCATAATACAGTTTGAAATCTGGTATAGCTAGGATACCTTTCTTCACATTTTTTTTTCATCAATTCCCTTGATATTCTTGGCCTTTTGTTCTTCCAGATGAATTTTGTTATTATTTTTCTAGCTCCATAAAATATTTTTGGTAGGTTGATTGGTATGGCACTGAATGAGTAGATTAATTTAGGTAGAATTATCATTTTTATTATATTGGCCAGGCCTACCCTTGAGCAATTAATATTTTTCCAGTTGTTTAGGTCTGACTTTATTTGTGTGAAAAATGTTTGTAATTGTGTTCATATACTTCCTGGGTTTGTCTTGGCAGGAAGACTCCCAAACATTTTATTGCTTTAGCTAGCATTTCTAGTAATATAGAATAATAGTGGTGATAATGGGCATCCTTTCTTCACCTCTAATCTTATCAGGAAAGTTTCTAGTTTATCCTCATTACAGATAATGCTTGCTTATCATTTTAAGGAGTTCATATAGGTCTTGCCATGTTTTTCTGAAACCACCCCTCTGGTGATTTCTTAGAGAAAAATAGTACTCCATCAAAATCATATGTCATACCTTGTTTAGTCATTCCCCAATTGATGAATATACTGCTATACTTTTGTACATATACTCCTTTTCCTTTTTTGGGGGGGTGAGGGGTGGGGAGTGAGGAATACAGAGCTGGTATGCATAGTTTCATAGCCTTTTGAGTATAGTTCCAAATTGTCCTCTAAAATTGTTGGACCAGTTCACTACTCCAACAATTCTTTTTTTTCCTATCCATTTTTCTCTCCTCCCCTTCAGTATTTGTCACTTCTGGTATGTGTGAGGTGGTACCTCAGAGTTGTTTTAATTTTCATTTCTCTAATAGTGATTTAGAGCACTTTTTCATATGACTTTAAATTGCTTTGATTTCTTTTTCTGAAAACTGCCTGTTTACACTCTTTGACCATTTATTAATTGGGGAATGGCTCTTATTTTTATAAATTTGACTCAGTTCTACAGTCAATATATATTGGAGAAATGAGGCCTTTATCAGAAAAACTTGCTACAAAAATTTTGACATTGTTTCATTGTCTATAGTACCTTTCGGCAAAATGTAGTTTTTCTCATTATCTCTTTTAATTAGGTCTGTTTTTGCTTTTGCTTTGTCTGAGATATTGATTGCCACTCCTGCCTTTTTTACTTCAGCTAAAGCATATTAGATTCTTCTTCAGCCCTTAATTTTAATTCTATGTGTGTCTTTCTCTTTCAAGTGTGTTTCTTATAAACCTCACATTGTTGGATTTTGGTTTCTAATCCATTCTGCTATCTGCTTTCATTTTATGAGTGAGCTCATTCCATTCATATTCATAGTTATGATTACTGTGTATTTTCCCCCAGGCCATTTGCTTCTATTTCTTCTCTTTCTTTTTATCCTGTCCCTCCTCAAAAGTCTATTTTGCCTTTAACCATTGCCTCCCTTAATCTGTCCTCTTTTTTATCACCACCACCCCCATATCTCTTATCTCCTTCCCCTCCTGTTTACCTATTGAGTAAGTTAGATATATATTCTCCCCTATTTGAACCAATTCCAATGAGAATGAAGTTGAAGCATTGCCCACCTATTTTCTCCTCCAATCTAAAAGGTCTTCCTTGTGTGCTTCTTTTATGTCAGAAAATTTGCCCCATTCTAGCTCTCCTTTCCCCCTTTTCCCAGTGCATCCCTTTTTCTCACCCTTTCATTTTTTGGGGGGGGAGAAGGGGAGATTATTCCAACATAATCGACTCGCACTCATGTTGTTTGTCTATGTGAATGTCTTTTAACTACTCTAATAATTATAAAGTTCTTAAGAATTGCAATTATCATTTCCCCACATAGGAATATAAACAGTTTACTTCCACTGAATCCCTTATAATTACTCTTTCATGTTTTGCCTTTTCATGTTTCTTTCGAGTCTTCTATTTGAATGTTAAATTTTCTTTTCAGCTCTGGTTTTTTCATCAGGAATGCTTGAAAGTCCTCTATTTCATTAAATATCCATCTTCTCCCCTGAAGGATTATTCTCAGTTTATTGGGGAAATTGTTCTTGGTTATAATCCTAGCTCCTCTGCCTCTAGGAATCATGCTCCAAGCTCTTGGGTCCTTTAAAGTGGAAGCTGCTAAATCTTGTGTGATCCTGACTGGGGCTCCATAATATTTTAATTGCTTCTTTCTGGCTCTTTGAAGTAGTTTCTCTTTGATCTGGGAGCTCTGAAATTGAGCTACAACATTCCTCAGAGTTTTCATTTGGGGATCTCTTTCAGGAGGTGATTGGTGGATTCTTTCAATTTCTATTTTACCCTCCAGATCAAAGATATCAGGACAATTTCCTTTGATAATTTCTTCAAACATGATGTCTAGGCTTTTCTTTTGTCATAGCTTTCAGGTAGTCCAATAATTTTTAAATATCTCTCCTCAATCTATTTTCTAGGTCAGTTGTTTTTCTGATAAGATATTTCACATTTTATTCTATTTTTTTTCATTCTTTTGACTTTGATTGCTTTTTGATGTCTTGTGGAGTCATTAGCTTTCATTTGCCCAATTCTAATTTTTAAGGAATTATTTTCTTCAATGAGCTTTTTACCTCTTTTTCCATTTGGCCAATTCTGCTTTTTAAGGAGTTCTTACCTCTTATTATAATAGCCTTTTAATTGGTTTCTCTGCTTCCCTTCTCTCCCCATCTAATCCATTCAACTGCACAATTGCTGAGTGGTTTTCCAAAAGTACAGCTCTGGACATGTCACTCCCAGGGTTCAAGAAGTCCCAGCAGTTTCCTTATTGATTCTGGGGTAAAATACAAGCTGCTTTCTTTGTCGCTCAGACAGAGCTTTCTGCTTCTAGCTCCAGCTTACTTTTCCATACTTATTATATAAAACACTCTTATGGGAACCCTACGTTCTAAACCCCAAAGTTCATCTCAAGCAAGTGGTCCTCC